CTATTGTAATTTTATTGTTCTTCTGTACAATAAAATTATTATTATTATGTAGTGGTATTGAAATTGAAAAAAACATGTTTTCCTTTTGCTTGTTTATAGCTGATCGCACATCTGATTATGTGAATGTCCTGCATTATGAAGATCAGAGTTTGTGGGAATGATTCAAATTAGTGCCCATAATCTCTTAATTTTAGGCCTCGCTCTAATATGTGGATTGATTTCTCTTTGCCTACATTTATTTTAAACACAGAAGTGAAAATAAATGACCATGTTTGCCTTTTTGTTCAGGTGCGTTTCTCTGCACTTGTCATGTTGCTGGAGTTGGCAAGCAAGCTGAGGGAGAACTACATGGTTCTTCTGCCAGAGACTATCCCATTTCTGGCTGAGCTTATGGAGGGTAAGAACATTACGTCAATATTTAATCAAATGGGAACACATGATTCTGTAACTAAAGTACACTGTGTTACCTAGTGTTATCTTTGTTGTTGCTAGTGTTAGTCTTGTTGCATTTTAAGAACACTTAAATCTGTTTCTTTAACAGTCAGAAATATTCCAGAATTCCGAATTTCTTCCTCCTTGTTTTACAGATGAATGTGAGGAAGTGGAGCAGCAGGTGCAGAAGGTCATTCATGAAATGGAGACTATCCTCGGTGAACCACTGCAAAGCTACTTTTAATTCCACCCGGGACTGATTTCACACCATCACAGGCGCTTCTTACACCCTTTAAGTGTGCATTCATTATCCGTGTATAATATTTAGTGATGAACTGTATTAATTACTGTATTAATTACTAATATTTAGTCAGTCTGCCCACCAGTTCCACCTGTACCCCTTATAACTGACTGACATGTATATGTAAATGTAAAAAGCCACAAATCACTGGATGCCACATGTTTTTGACAGTAGGGTTATATAAAAAAAATGTCTGTTTTTAAAAATGAAATGGTTTTATATTGAATTTTCGAATGCATACTGATGTACCTCTCTGGAATCTGAACATCATAAAAAGATTTGGAAGAGTCTGGAAAATGTGAATTTGTGTTTGGTTGAGAAAAATTACAAGGTTGAAATGAAAGAAGGTTTTCAACACTTTGCTTGCATTAACAATACAGTTTTAATATACTACTACTCTTTGGACAAGTTTGCTGCATACATGCGATATCTGTCACTCACACTCGCGCCCTAAAGAGAACAGGCCAGAAAATGGAGCGCTGCTGGAAGAAAATAAAACTAGAAGTATTTCATATATTGTGTAGAAGGATAAGTGTTTCTGCCTGTAGAAAGACCTTAAGAACTATTAGATTGGCTTGCTTTTTGACTCTTTTAGAAGAAAACAAACACAACTTACAGGTGTTTATTTGATACAGTGGCTAAATTAATGTGAAATTGAGCTTCAACAAGTTCAGACATTTCCCAACAGCACAGCAAGAAACAGCTGAACCGAGAAAACTATAACCAGTGTTGGGGAAAGTTACTTTTAAAAGTAATGCATTACAATATTGCGTTACTCCATAAAAAAGTAACTAATTACGTTACTTAGTTACTTTTTATGGAAAGTAATGTGTTACGTTACTTTTTAAATCTGGACAGGGCTTGCTTGTTTGTTTTTAAAATAAAAAAGTTCTATTTTTGGCAAATATAAAAGCCTTTTCACACCAAAAGTGAAATGAATAAGCCTCAGGCTGAAGGGAAAGTAAATTTACGTCTGTACAGTAGAATGCAGAAGAAGAAATTTCAACACACTTCAGCAATTAAAAAAAAAATGTTTGTCTAGAGTAATTTTTGCTTATTAGTATGGTTGAACTGGATCATCGAAGGTCAGAAGCAAAGACATTGGTTAATAGAATGGGATTAAATACAAATAATATTTGTGTTGTTTAACATTTAATTATTGCAGGTTTGCGTCATATTCTGAGTTGCATTATTTTTATTCATTTTGAGGAATAGGCCTACTGAATCTGTTTTTTTTTTTGTGAGAGATGAATTAATGCATATTCATATTTATTTTGTAAAAAATGTATCATCCGATTTCTCTCAACATGGGGACAGGAGAGCTGTCAATCAATAAATTGGGTAAAAAAAAAGTAACGCGTTACTTATTTGAAAAAGTAACTCAGATATTCTCTTGTAAATTAAAAAGTAATGTGTTACTTTACTAGTTACTTGAAAAAAGTAATCTGATTACGTAACTCGCGTTACTTGTAATGTATTACCCCCAACACTGACTATAACTATGCAGCCATCTGCTACAGTATCACATCATACAGTACATAACAGTCCCCTTGAGGAACAATTGAATTCCTTCTTTGCTGTAGGAGAGGAAGAACTGTCTAAATTTGTTAAAACATCCCAATCAACAACATGTATGTTAGACGCTATACCTACTGAACTGCTGAAAGAAATTTTCCCAGAATTCATAGATCCTCTTCTTAGCATTATTAATTCATCATTGTCATCAGGATATGTCCCAGAAAATTTCAAGCTAATATAATAGTTATTAAACCTCTCGTTAAAAAAAAAAACACAACTTGAGCCTAGAGAATGAATTCACTACAGACCGATCTTGAATGTTCCTTTTCTTTCAGAAATACTAGGAAAGGCAGAATCAACGTAATTACGTATCTGCAAGGATTTACAGTTGGGATTTATACCAAATCATAGTACTGCTTTCATTAGAGTTACAAATGACTTGATCTTATCAACCAACTGTGGTTGCATCTCTCTATTAGTATTACTGGACCTCACTGCATTTGACACTATCCACCAAATAAATTTTTTAATAGATTCAAAAATGATGTTGCCACTGGTGGAATTGTGTGGCATAGTTCAAATTGTACTTAACTGACAATTATCATTTTGTAGCAGTAAATGAAAAGGTATCATATCAATCAGCCCGTACATGCTACCCTTGGGAGATATCATTAGAAAACATGGCATTAGCTTTCACTGTTTTGCTGATATTACTCAGCTCTATATTTGTGCACAGCCTAACAAATCACAAAATATACCAATTCACAAAACTAATAGAATACATAATTGATATAAAAAAACTGGATGAGTAGTAATCTCCCATTACTAAATCCTAATGCTCATACTAAAAAAATATATATTTCTGTCATGACAACTCTCGGAGGGATTGGCATGGTAATGTACATGACAATGTTAATGTATTTGGTTTTGGCGGAATAGATCTGCTACGCTGCTGCTGCTGCTGCGGCAGAGCAAGTACCGAGACTTCCTACTGCCAATACATCCACAACATGCTGCTGTGAGCATGTAAGAAATATTGCTGCTGCAACTATAACATACATGAAATAACCCCCATATAGCATAAATTAATCATCTCGTAGCAGATCTATACAGGTGGAGCTGGGGAAGGTGGAGGGTTTCTGAAGCAACTGCTACGGCAAGCCCTAGTCATATATTTGAATGTTGAGCAGCGAGCTCATTGGCTACCGATACAGGAGAGAACCAGTCAGCTGTGCCATGTGATAATGATGTCATTAGGTCAGATTGCGTTAGACCTATCGGACTGCGCCATCTAGAGTTTCATGCCAGAACTCTGTATATATATTGGGCCTCTGCATGCAATATACTCTTTAACACTCAATGGTGGACCTGCACCTAGTGATGACCACAACAGCCCTGAATGTTAGTGGAAACCATGACAACTAGACAATCCCTAGAGACTGATCCCCTGTAAAGACCTCATCGACACGACAGCCATCGGCACAGATCCTCAGCAAAGACCACAAGAACTAGACAAGTCCTCTGCACAGCCCCTGTAGACAGCTTCAGCTACTCCAACATGTGATTTATCACAATTTTCAAGCAGAAGGAGAAGGATGAATATTCTAAATGATACCAATCCACAACATGACTTGTGATGCAGCCTGGAATTAAACCAAACCATTTTGGTTTGTTTGGCCAGAGGAGAGCTGTCCCATCGATTGAGCAGAGTTTCTCCCAAGTTTTTTTTTTTTTTTCTCTCTCTCTCCATTTCTGTCACCGATGGAGTTTGGGATCCTTGCCACTGTCACCTCTGGCTTGCTTAGTTGGGGGCACTTCATATTCAGTAATATTATTAAATTTACTGTACTGACACTATTGGATGAGAACTGAACTGAGCTGGATTATGACATTATTGTCTGCAACAGGGCTGCTTTACAGCTGAATTTATCTCATTTCATAACTGATAATATACAGTTTTTTAACTAAAATGAATCAACACTGAACTGGCCTCAGCTGAACAATGACACTTGTTTTTTTGTTTGTTTGTTTTTTTAAGAGCTGCTTAACGGCAGAATTGATCTCTATTTGCATAATTGAATCAAAATGTTCCTTTTAATCCTTGTAAATCTACTTTGAAACCATCTGTATTGTATAAAGCACTATATAAAGGTGACTTGACTTCACATGCAAGTATTGAGTAATGAACAAATAACATGAACATGGACTTTTTATTCAATATCAGGTTTTTAAGAATAAATTTACAGATTTTTATGAGCGCATAAAAAAAGCAAAAGAATTGGGGAAAACTAATTCAGCTACCCAAAAATATATGAAAACGTAAATATAAAAAAAAAAACACTTTCAATAATTGTTAAACATTAACTAATAATAACACATATATATATATATATATGGCTACAGTTAACTAAAACTAAAACCATAAAATAACTGTTGTTACTTTAAATAAAAAAAAACCTTAACTGAAATAAAATATTTCAACAAATTTCATTGTTTAACTTGATGTACTATAAAAACTAAAACTGAAATTATATATATATATATATATATATAGCCTAATATAAATAAATGTAATTTCTTGATCCTCAACAGACGTTTATATTTTCATATGTGCTTTTTATGTTGAGTTTAAATTCATTCAAATTCATGAATTGAGTTTAAATGAATTCCACTTCGTATGCAGATTAGACGATGGTGTCATCTAAAATCAGTTCTTCCCCATTTACTTTCCTTGAACAAAACAGAAAAGAAAGCCTCAGGTTAAGACAGAAGAGCGCGAGCAGCCCAATGACTGTCACCGCACAGTGTGTCGTCACACGTCCTGTAATCTGCTTTGATTTTAGAGCCGTTTACTCCAGACTGCCGCTGGATACATTGTACCAGTGATGAAGAGCTTCAGCGGATTACGAGCCGCTTTTCACATATTCAGAAGAGACCTCCATCATCATCACTGTGTGGGAATAATAGCTGCACCTTTCTCTAAAGGACAGGTGAGATATAAAGCCCCAAAACACGTCCTCGTCTCTTTTCAAATAATGATATTCACGTATTAAAAAAAGAACATGTTTGCATAAAAATCCCTGCATGGTGCAGTATGGTAGTGGTCCAGTGCTCATGTTATTGACTGTTACTGCAGCAGAGGGATGGTGTGCAGAGAGGAGCGGACCTCATTCGAGCTGCTGGATTGGTGCAGAAATTTAAAGAGGAAGGTACCACTACTACACCTGCTGAAATTTACACTGCTTTTATTTACATTATTACCGATATTTACACTACATGTCACATAATTATACATTGTACTGAATAAAATGAAGAACATTTACTTACTATAGAGTTAGGGTTAGGATTAGGACTTTGTTTAGGGTTGCATATAATTAAGCGTAATTTCTTGCTATTACAATAGTAAGTACATGCAACAAGGACACTGTAAAATAAAGTGTTACCATCATTTTTATATAGGCTATGCTATTTCATATTCAGAAACATTCATTTTATATGTATAATAACTTATATGGTTACACTTTATATTAATTACAGCGTAATTATGCATGTAAGGGTTTGGCTTATAGGGTTACTTGCATGGAATTATGCATAACTAATTGTTATTATTATAGTAAGTACATGTAACATGTGTAACAAGGGCACCTTAAAATAAAGTGTTACCAAAACAGTCAAAAAAAAACTTAAAGTGTTACCCTTATATTAATTTATATATATATATATATATATATATATATATAATATATACTTCATGGGATGTTTGTGTTTTAAAAAATGTAAAAATGTGATTAAATGTGGTTAAAATGGATGAAAATATTAAATTGTGACTAGCTATAGCATCTAAAAAATATAGACTGTACAGTATATGAATTCATTTAAACTTTAACCTAAATCTTGATGTAAAAATGGTAATTTGTTATTTGTCAACTAGCCATTACACAATGCCTGCAACTGCTAATGGGTATTTTAAGGTCAGGTAACATGCAATTGTTATTTATCGTTGCCATTTTTGTAAAAAGGGGTCTTTATTTGATCTGTCTAACTGTCTGTTGTTGCATAAATGTTTTATGACTTTAAACAAACAGCTAGAGGGACTGATGCCATGCAAGGACAGTAGATCAGTGCTGCCATGTGTGGTTTTTATATATTTACCTAAGATGCGATCTCATAGGAGCAGTAACACTGACGTTGCACCATTCCCCTTTTTGTGTGTATTTGTGTGCAATATTGTGGATTGAGTTCTGTTACTGAATAAGAGTGAAGCGTGTATTTGCACAAACAAACCCAGTAATGTTTAATGCTGTTACTGTTACTTGAGTTGAAGGTAGAACAGAGAACTCTATAGGTCTTTAATGTTAAATCAGTGACAGACTGGCTAAAATGAGTGATTTATTTAAAGATTCATTCCAAGATTTTTAACATATTTGAAGGATACTTTCAACAGCGTTCATTCAATAACTGAATAGCACACTCCCTAAGTGAACGTTCAGTTTTGTTTTGTTTTTTAACAGCTGTTTAACAGCAGAATTGATCTCTATTTGCATAATTGTATCAATATTTTCCTTTTTATCCTTGTAGATCTACTTTGAAACAATCTGTATTGTATAAAGCACTGTATAAATAAAGGTGACGACTTCACATGCAATGGGGTCACTGCACAGTGTACTTGTTAGTGTAGTTATATAATCAAGTATTGAGTAAAGAGTAATGAACAAATAACATGAACATGGACTTATTATTCAATATCAGTCTCCAGCCTTCCAGGTTTTTTTTTTGTTACCTTTTAAATAATATAATATTTTTATTATAGATAGTATTATATCATATTAATTGTTTTATTCTATTATTAAATATGTATAATTATATTAACATTTTTCCTCTTCACTTCAAAATATAAAGAATAAAGAGGTGAGAGAGAAACACTTCCACAAACTCTCAACCTCATGCCACATTTTTCCAGTTCCGAAGAAATGGATGAAATGAACGGATGAATAATAATAATAATAATAACCTTACTCTAATTCTACCTTCTTTGTTACTGTAATATGATAAATTAATTGATATTTCTTTTTCTTTATATTTTTGGTGTAATAGGCAATATTGTATGTACACACAATCATGCCAATATGGAAAAATGAATGGTAACTCAAACCTTATGCTGTGCTTCAAAACAATATATTGTGGATATATGTTTAGTGAATGACTTACATTTTGGTGTGTTCTTCACATAAATCATTTTGGTCATCAATCAGTCATTTTGGAGCCCAACAGCCAACACATTAAAAAAATTGTATGTATGTATTTAAGCCAATCTTTCGTGTTTCATTTATTTATGAGTGACAAATATCCATCACATTAAAACTGTGTAATCCAAATGGATGGAAACTTTATACTGTAATGATTGTATGTATGGAAAAGAATGGTCAGTACACTTTTCCTTTCGTGTTCCGTGCTAAAACTATCGTTATGTGTAAATGATGACAGAAAGCCCTTTGTCCCTCTCCAGGTTGTGTAGTGAAGGATTATGGGAATCTGACTTTTGAGGACGTTCCCAATGATGAGCCAGTTGGCAGGCTGAAGACTCCGAGAGCAGTCGGCCGTGCCAATGAGCTGCTCGCAGGAGCTGTGCAGAAGGTCAAGAGCGATGGAAACACTTGTGTGATGCTGGGAGGACATCACAGGTCATCGTGTGCTTTCACTTCTGTTCAATTTCACATTTGGAAGCAGGAAATCATTATTGAACCTATTCTCAGAAATGGGTTTGCTGGTTTTTACAGCTTGGCGATTGGGTCGATCTCTGGTCATGCCGCCTCAAGACATGAGCTGAGTATTTTATGGGTGGATGCACATGCAGACATCAACACACCTTCAACCACGCCAACGGGAAACATTCACGGCCAACCGCTGTCGTACCTCATCCATGAACTGCACTCAAAGGTGACTGATGGTCTTGAATCATTTCAGCACCTTTGTTAATGTATGCGTAATATGTTACACAGTTATTCACTGTCAGTCTCATCACCAAAAAAAAAAAAAACTCCTAAAGAGCTGTTCAACTGTAACATCCTGACCATGCATGGCTCATAACTAATAAACATCAACAACTTACTTCATAGAAACATTCATAGAAAATTTCATAAAACTCTCAGAAAAACATATCAATGTCCTTTAAAATTTTTTTTTAATTATTTTGCTTTGTGACATTACTTTTATGCACCAATTAAAACATTTATCCTTAAATTCCCATTAACATAATATCACATTGTACTTTTTTGTTTGTTTTTTTGGCATTTGCTAGTAATTCAAGATTCTCATTAGATTCTCATTTCTTATTCTCATTATTTTCATTCTAGTAGTCAATATTTATTAATCACCATAAATTAAAAACAGTACAACACATATAAGAATTATATATATATATACATACATGCATACATACATA